GGTGTACGTCAAGTGGCTGGGATTCGACGGATCGCACAATTCGTGGATAAATAAACGAGACGTCGTGTGAATTAATTTTTTTTTTATTCGTATAGAATATATCAAAATATGTATATTTCAAAAATAAATAATAGTAAATTGGAGACGGGGATGAAATTCATTAAATTTGCACAATAATAAGTTAATATCCGACGAATCAACAGCCAAGCAAACATCGTCCACGTATCTATAGTAAAAAGGAAGTTCTCTGTTAAACGACAACAACGCTAGCGACTCAAGCCTTCTCATAACCAGATCCGCCATAATAGATGATAATGGTGAACCCATGGGTGTACCAAAACATTGCTTATAAATCTTCTTATAAATAAAATTCAAAGGTGCGAGTTTGCGACGATCCACGGCGTGAATCAGGTATCGCAGCTCAATGGGACAAAATGCACATGAAAATATGGACTTTTATCTTTAAAATGCTTTTTTACGGAGTTTGATACGATCATTTTTCACTGAGTTATTTCAAATTATGGCTGAAATTGAAAGACTAATAAGGAGTATGCCTGATCGCATGAATAAGGTAATACGCGTACAAGGAAGTCATACCCACTATACGCTATGCAGAAATGACGCCAAAGCATGTAAAGGGCTACCAATAGAAGATACTATTATTCTTAACCCCTTGACTGGCAAGGACGTCTATAGACGTCCAAAGAAATCGTGCCACTTCTGGTGACAACATCTATAGACGTCATATCGATATCTTTGAAACGACTCAACCAATCGTCCTGAAATTTGTAACTCAGGGGTTTTTGGGGTCGCTGAACTCAAACTCGAGGTCAAAATTTCAAAAATCAAAATGGCCGATCCAATATGGCAATCAAAAAAGCATAAAAGTTTTTCAACTTCCGCAATGTTTAGTACTCTTAAGTTTTTGGGGTCGCTGAATTCAAATTCGAGGTCAAATTTTCAAAATTCAAAATGGCTGATCCAACATAGCGGTGAAAAACATAAAATTTCTTGTAATTTCTTAATGTTCAGTATTATAACAGAATAGAGAGTATATTTTTCGATGTTCAACGACTGTAATAATTACAGTATATTTTTTGAAGATTTTTCAAAATTCAAGATATACCCCCGACATTAGCTGGTGATTGTAAATCACGTCCCCGGAATGTGCCACGTGGAGGCTGCAACGGTAGGATTTGACATTCCATTTTTTTTTATATTTTATACTTTTTTTTGTTTTTGAAATATTTTAAATTTTTTTTGTTTTTTTATTATATTTTATACTTTTTTGTGTTTTTGAAATATTTTACACTTTTTTTATATTTTTTTTATAAATATTTTATAATTTTTTTAATATTATATATATTTTTGTTTTCATTGTTATTGTGTATTTTTATTTTTATTGTCAAAGAATAATATTATTACAGTTTGTGCTCACTGTCTGTCCTCACTATCCGCTGCATGGTAATCTTCGAAACAGTCAATGCATAATGGTGTATTGTTACATCGTACGCATACCACGTCTGTCTCTGTTCTGATGTGCTTTTTTGTACAAGACTTACAACGCTTCCTTCTTTTTTTGCCTGCTTTGGATACAATATCCATTCTGCTAGGAAAGTGAGCATGAGGTTGGTTACTCTGATTACCTCCATTTCCCTCTGTTCTGTTCTGTTTTTCTTTTTTTTTTTTTTTGCAATGCTCTTTTAAAAGCAGATCAACCAAACGCATTCGAAAATCAAGGTGACTTGGAGTTGTATCAGGGTGGAGCATTTTGAAGATTACATTCGCATTGAAGATTGACATGTCTAGTAAATTGAAGTGAACTTTCTGATACCATTTTGTTGATTTGCGTGATACTTGATATGGTTGCAAAATTTGGTCTGACAAGTCAATTCCTCCCATGTTTTTATTGTATGCAATAACGGTGTTTGGTTTTCTGATAGTATCACCTGTCTTTCTGTCTTTTTTATGAGTATCAACCATTTCAGGATACTCTGTAGTCGTAAGCATACTTACCAATTTTTTGTCCTTCCATAGAAGCAGACACATGATTGGAGTACTAAATACCTTCATTTCACCAACTTTCAAATTTTTTGGTTGAACGTTCGGCAAGTGCCTACGATTTAACCTGACAGTTCCGACGACATTAGTTTTCTCTTGTATCAGCTTCTCAAAAAGAAGAGGAGATGTGTACCAATTGTCTATGTACAACGTACGACCTTGTCCAGTCAGATCTCCCAGTGATTGTATTACCGCCATGCCAGGCACTCCAAATCTTTTATCCATTTCTGACTTATCGGAACACTTACCTGTGTACACTTTACAATTGTTGATGTAGCCTGTAGCAGAGTCGCAGCATTTGTACAATTTGATACCAAAACGAGCACGTTTAGTCAAATTACACTGCTTGAAACTCAGATGACCTTTGAATTTTAGAAGAGATTCGTCAATGCATACATTTTCGCCTGGTCTATAAACTGCCTGAAATCGCTCCACTAAGTATTCCAGTAAAGGACGAATTTTACGAATCTTGTCTGTACTTACTTCTTCATTATCAGAAAAGTGTAAAAATCCTAAAATGCTTTGAAATCTTCTGAGCGTCATACATTTGTCAAAGATTGGCGTTTCTAACAGAGGGTTCGTGGACCAGTACAATTCATAAGATGGCTTGCGAATTATACCCATCATAATTATTAATCCATAAAATGTATACATTTCATCTGGTTCTACTGGTTTCCACTTCAGTATTCTGGAATTCTCTTTTAGTTTCCTCTGAGCGCGCAAAGTTGTTAGCTTCTGTTGTTGGTAAGTATTGATTTGGAAGCAAATTGAATCCATCAAATCCTCTGTAAAATACAGTTTGAATACTTCTAAAGGTGTTTTACTCTCGTCTAGACCAAATCCTGGTTGAATACCTGCTTTTTTATCTGTAAAGTCATGAACAGAAGGAGTGAACATATTATTTGCACTCCATGTCAAGTTTTCCACGTGTTTATTCCATCGCATCTCTAACGGAACATCATCAATATCAGAATTATCTTCTGTGTCCAAATCATCAATATTTTCATCTTCGCCACTCTGCTCTTCAGAACTTTTATCTTCGCTTTCGCCTGCCATCCACTCTTCATCATCGGTACTACTGTCATGAATGGAATCATCTAAGTGCGAAGAATCATCCGAAGATACATCGCTCTCATCTAGTTCCATCATTTTTCCAGATAAAAGTTTCTCGAACAGGAAAAATAAAAATTTGAATAAATTCAAATGGCATGGCTCTACGAATGAAGATGACAATACGGTTAGAACCGGTTTATGGTGAACCTCACTTGTTATGTATATAGTATATGCATCAATGAAGAGGTATTATTATTATAAAGTGTTGGTTTTAGTTTCACTTTTGTTTTTTTGACGCAACTACACTACTTTTTTTACTTACTGTGTATGAAACATGTACCAATCTTGTGAATAATTTTACTCCTAACATTTCAATTCTGAATTTCGAAATTTTTACGTCAGATTTGAATTCAGTGACTCCAAAAACCTAAGAGTACTAAGCATTGCGGAAATTGAAGAAATTTATGCTTTTTTGACTGCCATGATGGATCGGCCATTTTGAATTCCGAAATTTTGACCTCAAATTCAAATTCAACGACTCTAAAAACCTAAGAGTACTAAATATTGCGGGAATTAAAAAAAAAAATTTGGCCGCCATATTGGATTGGCCACTTTGAATTTTCAAAATTTGACCTCGAATTTGAATTCAGCGACCTCAAAAACATTTGTATATACAGTTTCATAAAGATTGATTAATATTTGGCTTCTGCCAGAAGTGGCACGGAAAGTCAGTTTCGCAGTACCAGTCAAGGGGTTAAGAACCATTGCAGGAAGGAGCGCGTCTCTTTCATGGTCTATGCAGACTTGGAGTGCGCATTGGAGAAGATGGATGAAGATCCAGCATCATCCATGTATCAACATCACAACGTCTTCAGTATCGGGTATTACGTTTATTGTTCCTATGATAGCTCACTGTCAGGCTATCGTTTTCGCCGCGATAATAACTGCATATCGTGGTTCGCGGATGAATTGAAAAATTTAGCACATAGTGTGCAATCACACACACACACACACACACACACACACGGGATCAGATTCCTGTCACGTCCACGCCGTTGATCCTGGATAACGCCAAGAGCAGGACATACACATGCATATGTATACATACACGCCACCCCCCCACCACACACTCAGACACAGACACACACACACGCACGCGCGCACACACAAATTGAGATTCAATTCCGACCTGTCAAACTCGATGCAGTTTATATTGACATAAATTACAGCCATAATTTGTGTTAATGACAGCGATACCTTAAATTTGGAATAACTCAGTGAAAAATGATCGTATCAAACTCCGTAAAAAAGCATTTTAAAGATAAAAGTCCATATTTTCATGTGTCCCATTGAGCTGCGATACCTGATTCACGCCGTGGATCGTCGCAAACTCGCACCTTTGATTACAAATTTTACATCTTCTCATTTTGTAATCCGCCATTTTGAAAAAAATTACCGCTTATAATTGCCGTTCAAATATTCTTAAAGTGGACACTTCAAGCTTTATTTTCCTTTTTTAAACATATTTTTATCTTTATTATTTACCAAGTTATGATCATTTGAAATTTGGTAAATTTTTCCTAATTTTTCAGTGTACCGCTTTTTTTGCATGCGAGTGTATATACCATCATATCGTTGTCGTTCTTTATTCCTTTCAATAAGTTGACGACAAACTCTCTGTAACGTTACAGGATACATACATGCGAGTACAAACTTAGTATAAAACTCAATACACATAAAAGTACAAGTCTAGGTACGAGTATAAGTAAAACTCAGTCAACCTGAAACAACCTAATTTCCGCGCGGATCAGCTCGTCGTAAATTTCGCTAGTCGCGAAAAAGGTTCGCACGGGAAGAGAGAATGCAGAAACAAATGATTAAACCGTATTTTAAGACGAGAGACAGAAACGTTTATTATGTGTAGCGTGTGTATTTACAAATGTGTGTGTGGATGTGTTCGTGAATGACGCGCAGGTGTGTACTCGTGTGTCGGTATAGATGTGTATGTCGTGTACGCAGGTGTATATGTATATTGCCGAGACGGCAAGCAGACGAAACGTATACAAGACGTGTACAGAAAAACAACGAGGCGCGGACAGAAAAACTAAGATATTACGGACGGCACAAACAGAAAAACTATACGTGTAAATTACGGCGCGAGTACGGCGGAAAACGCGGGGGAATCTCCGAATCCCAAGACGGACGCGAGGCGCGGTCGGCGGTATAACAATACGAATACGCGTACGCGAAGTATACGCCAACGGCGGATGACGGTCGCGGCGCGGATAACGCGGTGGGCATTCCCTCTATGCAATGAGGGACGCTTCGCAAAATGTAAGGCACGGATACACTAACGCCCGACTGCCGAGAACGCTTGGCGGAGGCGAAGAACACTTCACCCCCTTTTCGCGTCGGTGCGGTAGTTCTAGAATACTGGCGTACGACTGTCGAGAACGCTCGACGGAGGCAAAGAACGCTTTACCCCCTTTTCGCGTCGTACGGCCAGCGGATCAGGAGTTTTGGTGATCGACTGTCAAGAACGCTTGACGGAGACCAAGAACACTTGACCCCCTTTTCGCGTCGAATCACCGGAGCTAGGATCGGAGCGGGATTCGTACTGGAGCGGCGGTTAGGATAGAAGAGAGACTCGGAGCAATAATTAACGCATTATATACTAATTATTGCTCCCGTTCGTTTGGTTACGGTCTTTTCCGTTATCGCTTGGCGGTCGGCAATTCCTGCGGAGGGGATTGTCGATCGGCGATGTTCGGTCGCGTTCGGTCGGAGCGGCGGATAGCGCGAAGCGCAGATCGTTCGGCGATCTTCGGACGCGTTCGGTCGGAGCGGCGATAGCTACTGTCGACGAAACTTTGCTACAATGTAACGGATGAATAATACTATATACAATAAGTAGCTACCGGGAACGATGCAGTCCGAGGTGCATCGTTACATCCTCAATACATAACACTCGATACGTAAAACTCAACACATAAAACTCAGTATAAAACTCGATACATAAAACTCAACACGTACAGGTATAAGTATAAACTCAATACATAACACTCGATACGTAAAACTCAATACGTCTAGGTATAAGTATAAACTCAATACATAACACTCGATACGTAAACCTCAATACATAATACTCGATACGTAAAAACTCAATACATAATACTCAATACGCAAAACTCGAAACATAAAACTCACTACATAAACTTAATACGTCAGTACGAGAAAACGCAGTATAAAAGATACATAAAACTCAATACATCTAAGTATAGGTACAACGCAATATAAAAGATACATAAAACTCAATACGTCTAAGTATAGGTAAAACGCAATATAAAAGTATAACATACGTAAAAGTATATGTACATAACACTCGATACGCGAGCTACACTATCTGGTAATGCCCCCACGGTAAGGTGTTCGTCGAGTCCGGTACGACGTACCGTTTGTCATCGTACGGACTCAGAGCGATCTTGTTCTCCGACACCGTGTACACCCGGTGTAACTTGGATCTTATGCACGCCTGCCTGCGCGTCATTTCGATATCCTCCTTCAGGCACCGGGTGTAATCCTCGAACGATATCGTTCGCGCTACGACGCTGCTCTTCACCCCCTTCGCCTTCTTAGTGTCCCTCTTTCCGTCCACGTGCAGCGCGTACATCTTCGCTCTGAGCCCGACGAACTCGGCCATGATGGCGCCGTTATTCTCGTCCTTCATGAGACCGGGCACCTTCTTGTTCGCGAGAGGCATACCGTACGCGTTGTTCGCGGGATAGTCGCTCGTGTCGAATCTGTCTATGTCGCGTTTCATGGTTTCGTACACGTCGTCACACTCTATACGGTAGATCAGACTGTCCGTGTCGGTGTACATGATCTCGCATCTATCGCGAAACAGCGGCGTCATGTACTCGTGGTGAAACTCGTACAGGCACGTTTTCGAAATGTCCAGGATGCACATACCCACGTAAATAGACTTGTCGAATTTCACCTCGAGTTTACGCAATTCGACCGCTATCAGGTTTTCCGCGAAGACGCTGCGGCTGTGAAAGTTAGGTTTCGCGATCAACGCCTCCGCGCCGTATCGTCCTTCCCACGCCGTCACGCAGTTTAACGTCGACGCGATCGCGCACATTCTCCATCGTCTTGCCGAACACCGCGTTGTTCATCAGTTTGTACAGGTTTTTCTCGAAATCGTTCCGCGCGCGCGTTCGAAACCGCGTGTTGAGTTCTATGTAGTCGCGGAGCCAGGCCGATTGCGCGAATCGCAACACTCGATGGATCTTCGTTACGCGAAGACCGTGACGCGTGCACTGTTGCAGGTTGCGGTAGTGGACGACGTACCGTCGCGAGAAGCTTGTCGTCCCGCTTGCCGGGCGGCTTCGCGCGCGTCGGGCAAAACGGCAGGTCGGTGTGCGCGTCGTGAAGATGTTGTGGATACTCGAGATCCACCTCGAGGATGTACCCGGTGGGCAAATCCAACGCGACAGTAGTGTAGTCGAAATTGTGCGCGTCTTCGACCCATGCAAAGTCGGCGTAGGGCAACGGTTGGCACATCGCCCAGCCATACAGGTTGATGACGTCGTAATACATGAGATACGACGACGGTTCCGACGGGTCGTACGCCTGCATGTACTTATTATTGGCCCGCGCGTATCTGCCGGAACACTGGCTGAGACCGCCGCGTATGCCGCGCTCGACGAACATCACCATATCTATGTCTGTGAGTAACTCGAACTTCACGCGCGTGTGTTTGAGCATCGCGTCCCACGTGAAACCGGGCAGGGTGTAGTAATGCGCGGGATCGAGTCCGTAACTCGCGACGCAACTGTCTCGAAAGTTCTCAAACACATCGGCCAACAACAGGACGTCAGTTTTTAAGTAGAGATCACTGTACTCGCCGAGCGTTCGCACGGAGAACCGCTGCCACACGTTCTCGGCGTGCGCGTAATCGCTCTCGGACACTGTATCGCCCGTCAGCGAGCTGTGGAACGATTCGCGCGGCGGCAAGCGCGTATCGTTCAGTCTCTCCACGCTGTCCACGTACTCGTAGGGAAACACCCCTTTACGAGTGAGCAGATCGAGGTCTT